TCTAGCGTATTATAAAATGCAAATGCTTGGCAATATTTCTGCTCTGAGAATTGTGCATAGGAGAATCTTTAATAATAAGTGTACATTTTCCCATAAATGTTGGCTTATTGATAAAAATTAAAATAAAAATATAATAATAATATAAACATCAGTTCAAATTAGCCATTTAAAAATAAATTTATTCAAATAAAATTTCTAATTAATGAAGACCTGCATTTTAACAGGATGTCTGTCACATATGTTCATTTTTAAGGTGCCTAAGAAGAGTTGAAAACTGTGAAGTAACTTCCATGTAAGAAATTAAGAAAAGAATTGAAGGCCGATGGTTTTGACAATAAAGACGTGGATGTGGTGAGTGCCTGCTATTTATTGTATTAACTATAATATAGAATTATTTGTTCAAAGTTGAGCTGATAAACTAGTGCATTATATTCTTATAGGTACTGCAGTGACAAAGGTTTTATATCATCATTACTTGCTCTACATTATACCATTTTCATAATGGCATGCCATTTTATTTAAAGTTCATGTGTCAGCTTTCAGTACCTACCTTTGCTAGTATCTTTTACAATTAATTCATTTCACAAAAAGTTATACGCATCCTTTCACTTGCAAGAACCAAAGAGATTATAAAATATATTTAAATTAATGCTTTTTGGAATCTATATCTTGTTATTTTTAAACATTCTGAACTTTTATGTTCCATTATAAAGTGTATGTACTGAAAAAGTATTCTGACTGAAGAGCAAATACTGTACCGTTGAATAATCTTGAGGGGTAGATTAATCTATAGCCTTTCTTCATCTCAGGGTGGGTTGCTGTGGCAACCACCCCAGCTCACTTTAAAACAATTTTTTAAAGCTCACTTCAAGAGCTACACCCAGCGTGGGCCAGGCTTAAAAGCAGACAGGCAGTGCACTGCTGTTTTAATATAGAGAGGTAGGAGGAGAGAGAAGGGTGGAGTAAGATAGGCCAGACCTCTAACCAGAAAATGAAAATTAACCTACCATAGTGTGAAAATCTAGAAAATCATTCCCCAGGCACTTCTGTGGCTCTTCCATTTAAATACTGTAATGATAACTGGGGGAGGGGGCAGAGGAGATAGTGAAGGTACGGACAAGATGCTGAACCCATGTGGACCAGAAGAATTATGAATACTAACATCATGAATCCAGAAATGTTTGTTGACCTCACATAAAATCACATTTCCATGGAAAGCCATACCAATGGTGGCTTTGAAGCAACTTTTTCTTAGTGGAAATATTGTAATGCATTTAAATGGAGAACCACTAGAGATCACTTGGGTTAAAAAGAATGTCAGAACTTTTACTTTTCATAAAATCATAAAGCTGAAACACAACTAATACAATGCTGACATATTATGAAGTTAAGGCCCAAGTGAAATTGCAGCATAGTTGAGACTAGAACCCAGATCACCTTGCTCCTAGTCCAATGTTCATGCCTCAACTCTAAGTGCTGCAATGAGCGGTGTTAGTTCTCAGTAAATTGTAGGGATGAGGTTGGTTTAGGTTAAAAAATGTTAGAGGTACTTACAGAAACAAACACTCTTTTTTTGTTGTATTTTGTGGATATATTGTGTGTTATCCACGTATAATTTAAAATCTCAAACTAGATTCTCCATCACACACCTCCGTCACACCCCTCCCCACTTACTCTCATTAGACTCATCATACTAAAAAAAAAATCATTTTAATGTTAGCTGAGCCAAACATATTTAAGAAGATAAATCTTTTGGGGAGAAAAATAATGTGATCCAGTGGTGTCAAACTCAAAGAGAAAGCAATCCCTAAAGGATCTATTGACCTAGAAAACTGCAAATTAACATTATGTTTTATTGTATTTCTATTTATTTTGTTAAGTATTTCTCATTTACCACATACAGTTGCCAGTTGTGAGTATGACACCTCTGATTCCATTCTAAAGTCAGAGTTGATACACTGGGAATCCAATGTTTAAACTTTTTTTTTAATCTACTGCATTGGGTTATCTGCCCAGCAGGGCATCTTCATTATTGTGAATAATTGAATGCTGATTGTTAGATATGTTTTAAAATGTATTTGGAATAGGATTATGCATAAAGAAAAAAATAGTTTATTTTTAGAATGAAAAGAAATCCATATTTGAAATCAACTACAACAAACAGATGCCATGAATGAGGTATCAAAAGTAATGTACTTTTATCCACTGATGTAATTCACCATATGGTTGTTTGGAAGGTTGATTTTCTTAGACATGGGTTACAACTACCTTGTATGGTAAGATCAAAAGAAAGACTAGGGGGAACCTGTTCATTCATTTTATTGCCAATGAAGGAATATATATATAGATTGCCACATAGTTGATTTGGCTGTAGTGATCAATACTATCATCTACAATGGCCAAAATGAATGGTTCATTTCAATGAATCTACTAAATGTTGACCAGGCCTTGGTGTTTAAAATGCCTACATCTCTTAAAACTCCTTTAAGTAACTGTCCTCAATGAAAACCTGCCATGTTTTAATACTTCCCTGGTTAGTAAAGATAATTAATTTCAGTCATAGACTCTTCCAACAAAAAGGGGGAGGGAAGACGAAAGAAAGAAAGGAGGAAAAAGAAAAAACATAGATGTTAATCTACTAGGATAAAGGGGGGGCTACAGTCATCTCAAATTACTGTGACAGTTTGTATTGCTTTCTTGTAATAAAAATAAGGAATTTATCTTGACTATACTAAGAGAAATATGAAAGCTGCAAAGAAACTAATTGGATTATATCTATAGAAGTCACCCTCTCCTTCCATCTAAAGTCCTGGAGTAGTTCTGGTATTTAGTGCCCAGCCTTAACTAAAAACTAGCTCTTTAAATCAAGATGGCCATTACATACTGAAATTATTGAAATTGGGAGGCCTTTCTGTATCATGATGACTTCAAATATAAGAACAGTGGCTGAAAGCCATATTAGAGAACTTAATGGGTAATGTTAATTATTAAATAGATAATGATGAAAAAATGTTTGGAAAACTTGTCTAGGTATGTGTCCGCTTTTGCCCTTAAACATTGTTCTTTTTCACGAAGTCTGACCTTGTTTGTACAGTATTAGAGGTTGACTATTTTGTAGAGCTTAAGCAAATGTTGCCCATGATATTGTAAATTATTTATATTTCTACTGGCACTGAATATCCTTTCATTCTTGTTTTAGTTAGTAAATGAATGAATAAGAAGTTTTATCTTTTTTACCTGGTATGTTGAAAAACAGTATTTGAAAGGTCATCAATTTAAATGACAAATATCATTCATTTTAAAATGCTGTATATATTACATCATTTAAAAAAATGAAAGGAATGCACCTTGGGACATCTTAAACTTTGTTTCTGTGCTTATTTCTGAGTCCAGTAGAACTGAAACAGTCCTGGAAAAGTGAAGTCATCAGCAATTGGATAGGGGAAGCTTAATGATTTGGGGAAGTTGTTTTAGTTTACAGGCTTGGAAAATGACCAATAAAGAAGAAAGACTAATAAAGGTGTGAGAGAGTGAGAAAAGGATTTTTTTTTAAGCACTGAGAAAACTGCTGGGTGTTGTGATTGTTTTTCCCAATTGATTAGAAACTTTATGCCCCCAAGCTGATTCGGTGCTTAGAGGTTTAGGTTATCGTAATTATTCTTATTTTGCACATCATTTGCACCCTGTGACACATTTCAGCACCCCTTTTAAGTCATCCAATCCTCCAAATGCTGGAAATCAAGCCTCCGTGCAGAGCTGCCTCCTGGAATCCAGTTTCACAGGGATGATGAACCGTTGCTTTTAAACGAGAAAGTACTACAGTACTGTACACGGAGACGCATAGATTGTAGAGGAAATGAAGTGGTTAAGCATCACAATCACGAACAAGACACTTGAGTAACTATTTGTATTCCGATAATGTTGGTCAATGACAATGATTATGACTTTCGGGGGACTATAGCTGTCGTTTCCCAGGCGTTTTCCTGACGTGCGTGAATCCTGGGACTCTAATTCTTTTTCTTAGAGTTTCTGCAGTGATCTGGGCGTCCTCCAGCTACTGTACTTGAGAAGAAATATGTAGTTGCTCGCCGTGTTGTCTTAATTTCGCGTAAAAAAGAATTGTCATTAGGTTTGCGTATGGCATGTGCCATCACCCCACCGTAAAACTAAAATTAGCAAAATGTCAGGAATGGAAAGATTGATTCACCAAGATGCAATTATCATTTAAAAGTGCTTGATTGAGGTGCTGATGTTCAGTGATTTATTCTGCATACCATATACATAATTAAAGTAGTGTAGTGGAGTAATTTATCAATCTAAGTTGAGACTGGATGGGGGTAAGGAAGGAGCTGCTGTATGTTTGTTTTATTAAAATGTTTCGGGATGTAGTCCCGCCCCCTTTTGCAAGAGTGAAACTGATTATTTCTCTAGCTCTGGAGGAGTGGAAAGAGACAGTGAGTGCTTCGTTTGGGATTGTGGGAAAGGAGAGAGAGAAGGGCAGAGAGAAGATAGAGGAGGAGGAGGAAAAGAGGAGGGGAGAGAAAAAGAGAGGGAGTGCAGGAGAGATAGAGAGAAAGAGAGAGAATCAGACGCGTGCAGTTTTGAATCTCAGCCTTGCTTGTGCTTTTTTCCTGTCTTTCTCTCCCTCCCTCTTTCTCTTTCTCTCTTTCCTTCTCTCTCCCTCCCTCCCTTTCTCTCTTTCTCTCTCTCTCTTTTTTACGCGATGTTTCAAAGGCTGTGAGTTGCTGTCCTATTCTCATTCGTCTTCTTCCACTTCCTTCCTGGACGCTGTTTTCTGGACGAGTCCGGTTACTTTTAATCTGGCCAGCAGCAGAGAGAGATACTTTCTCCTCCTCCACGCCGCACACACGCGCGCGGACGCGCGCGTGCCCGTGCGCGTGCCCACCCAGACACAGACACACACACGCACACACACACACACACACATACAGACACACACTCCTTTCTCTCTCTCTCTCTCTCTCTCTCTCTCTCTCTCTCTCTCTCTCTCTCTCTCTCTCCTCCCTCCCTTCAGTCACTCATAGACACTCGAACACACGCACACGCACACGCATACACCCAGACATCTTCTGGCTGCTATTGGATTGACTTTGAAGGTTGTGTGTGGTTCGCCGAGGCTGCACGTTGAATCAGGTGGAGAAAATTTTTAAAGGCTGGACGAAGCAAAAAGATCATTATTGTTACTATTTTTTTCTTCAAGAGAGGAAAATATTCCCAGGACTAGTCTGATCGTGTCTTCCTTCATGTAAGTACCCTCTTGACATTTCTAGAGGAAATATAAGTAGCTTGGTTATTGTCTCTAAGCTCCGCATCAATGTATCCGATTGTAACACATCAGTATCCAATTGCATTTCTTGAAGGCTGAAGTTGGGGTAGGTGATGCACTTTTCTCTTTCAATTACACGATTTTTTTGTCATTTGCTAAAAGTAACTTTTCAGACAGTCTGAATATAACTGGTTATATCACCAGTTATTCAAATCACTACTTTTTCCTGTTCTCTCCAGTGTGTTTAAAGTTTCATGAAGTTAGTTCACGTCATTAGCATGGTTGAAATGGAGTTTCTGAAGCTTACTGGATTTTAATAAATGAGGAAAGGATATGCGACCTTGTAATGCATGCTTCCAGCTTTATCACATAGTTCAATGAAGAAAGATGCTACCGTTTGCCAGCTAAACACTTTAAGGGTAGATGTATACTCAGGTTCTTATTAATTCTTAGGATTATTCTGAGATAAAACAAGCCTGTCTGTTAGGGCACATGCCCTTGTGCATCTCATTTACTCACTGAAGTGTTAGATTGAGAGCAGGCTTCTTAATCGGCAGTGGGATAAGAAGTCATTCACTGTTAACTGTAGTCTACATGTTTTAGAACCCAAGTTCTAGTTATGATGCTAGTATGTACATTGTGTTTTATGTCAAGTCAAATGTATAGCTATATAGAATGGTAAAATCACTCGAAAATCTTTGCATTTTGGATGAAAGTTAAGAAAAGTTGCCTTTGACATATGATACTAAAAAGATTAGATATTGACATATTATTTACTCTTTGGAGGAGATCTTTTTCAATAAAGCAAAATTTAAATTTGCCCAATAACAGGATTTTCTGCCACTGAAAAAGTGGCAACTGAGATGGTGCTAAATGAAACTTTATATCTGAATCATTTTTGACAGCTCTGGAGCCAGTAATTATTTTCCTTTTATCCTCATCCTTTTGGGACAATATTATTAAGTGAACTCCTTTTGTAAAAAATACCTTGATATGTAAACGCCTACAGCATAATTAAAGAGAATCAGGCTCTCTGCCAGTACTTTACTGGTCTTGAGTGGAGGACTGCTTTGACACAATGTGCATTTTGCTATCATTGATTTGATACTAATTCCAGGAGTTACTGTTTAAAAAAAAATGAACGGTGATGAATAGTTTTTTTTTTTTTTTAAGGTGTGAAAAAGGAAACTCCTGCAGTTCCATTATACTAGTCAGAAAAGTGGGTAGCCTTCTTTTCAGTGGCACCTTGCATGGAATTGTGGTTGCAGAGTAAAGATGTTTATGTGGAGTAGAATAACTCTAATCCCTAGAGACTTGGCAGGACATGGAAATCTGACCACCTGTGAATCCATTTTAACCTCTATATTGCATACTTATTTTAATTTTAATTTCAGAGGCAAATGACAACTATGAAAGTCCAGCATTTAATTTAATTTAATTTTTTTTAATAATGATAGTCTTGGTAATTCTTTGAAGAGACTAAGTACGGATTACAAGTCATAAAGTGTCCATTCCTTTGTCATTTTTTGATTTAGAGCATGTAATTAGAATATCATATCATTGTCTGCCTATATCGACACATTTAGATAAGTACACATGAAATTCTTTATTAACTACAAAAGGTACTTCCAAAACACTTTAGTTTGGAAACTTGACAGGTAATATATGATGTTCCTGCATAATACACTATCTCAAAAATAAAACCAGTTAAACGTCCTATCCAATAAATAGGAAGCTTGTTACTCTTAGTGAATTAATATTGACTACTTCTAATTCTAACATTGTTTCCAGAAAAAAAAGTTTTAAACAAAAATGTTGCTTAAAATGCCTTAGCTATCCAAGTGACTTGGATAGTCTTGGATAAAATAGTTATCTATATGTATACTTGGATACATATACTTGTAGGACTTGGATAAAATAGTTATCTTATATGTATTGTTTTGCCAAACTTTACTATATCCACTCTAATGCTGATTACTTAAATAATACAGTATTGCTATAGCTAATGAATATTTGTACCTTTTGGGGGTAGGATATTGTGTAGAATCACTTAATTAAGACACTAGTTTTCAGTATGTATTATTAAACTACATATATCTTTCATTTCTGGGTATTAGAAAAAATAGAAGTTTTGTTCTTAAGTTTAAATATGAAATTTTTACCTTATGAGAAAGAATCAGCTTTTCCATATCCTTTGTGACCTGTTCATCATTAAAAAGTGTAAAATGAAAAATTTTAACTTTTGATTTGGAAAACATTGGTGATAAATTTAGATTAGTAGTAATTAGTAGGAGTTGAAAATTATCTTATCAATCCTCCTTTCTTCTCTTTGTAATAGGTGTTTCCCAGATGTTTTGATAAACAAGTAAATATTTTAAAATAATTCATTCTAATATTGAAAAATCAGTCCACCATACCTACTTTCACAGCAGCTCAATATCTAACATTGAATCCCCTTTTTTGGGTGGGGAGGGGAGGGAGTCACCTATTTCACAGTCTTCAGCTTGTGTATTTTTTCCTTTGGCCTTCATCAAGTTACAACTTACATAATACCATAACTATGCCTTTCCAGATATGAATTTATCTTATTTCTGAATATCTTAAAAGAAAAAAAAACTAAAATACCAAGGTTCCACAAATTTACAAATTACAGATAAACTTAAAGGGTATTTCAAAAAAACTTTTTGTTTATTTTACTATATTCTGTTTTAAAATTTCCCAAACTGAATCTACTAAATTTCAATGTGTGACAAAATGGGGAAGCATCTCTGCAGTGATATTTAATCTGCACCACAACTTAAATGTATGCCTATTTAAACTGAGAATTCTAGGTGCATAATTCACAGGAACATGAATCCAGCACATAACATAAGGGGTCAGAGAAACAGACTTTAAATGGGTTAGAATAAGTTTTGTACTTTGTTTTAATGACACTCACTTTTAATGTAAGAGAAAAACAAAAAAAAGACAGAAATTTATTTGTAATAAAAGTGTAATAATTGCTTAGATTTGCAGTAAAGACTTAAACTAATCTTCTAAGAATTGATGGTTAATATGAACATGTGAACAGGTGATTAAAATCTCCCACCTTCCATACTGTACCTTTATCTTACAGCCTCACTGACTGTACTACAGTCAGTAAAGCTTGGTTGTTCACTGAGATCTGTCATCTTTAGGGAAACAGACCAGCTTAAAGCGGCGATTTATAAAACAAGAGTGACAAGGAAGTCTTATGTACCTTACAAAAGAAGGATTAGTCAGTTCATGTGTTATTTTGATAGGTCATAGATTAAAGCTGATTGCTGCAGAATAGCTCGGCACATTCCAATTTCAATTGATTATTAGATAAGGACTTCTTTTGCCTCATCACTTTTAAAAGCTATTCAAATAGAAAATTCAGTCTTCAAATAATTGCCTTTCATTAGTAAAAAATTTTTAAAAATTCCTTTTTTTACATATGACATTGTCATTTAAGAATTATACATTCTACTACTGCTTTACTAATGACAGTAAAGTTGCTGTTGTTATGTGATATTTTAATAGATTAGACATTTTCAAAAGTGCTATAGATAGCTCTGTATGTATACTTTGGGAGAAACATGAAATATGGTTAACATATACATTTGTGGTATTAACTGCCTCCACTCTCTGATTGAGCAGAAAAACTATAACGTTGAATATCCATTATGTTATCTTGTTACCAAACATTATTCACACACACAAAAATATACAATTATTTAGTTGAATGAACGTCCAGATATCATAAGTGTACCTTGACGGTTACTTGGCTAATTCATGTACTTTTGACAAGTGTTAGAAGATAATCACATTTTACAATAGAACATAAAGTTCTGACAGTTGGTTCAGTGAATAAAATTATGGTTTATATAATAACATTTTGAAATACCCAACTTCTTAGACATCTAGTTCTATGATAATTTCTTACTTCTTCTAAAATTGAACTCCTTTTTTACCCAACTGATGCCTCCTAGTGTTTCACACAATAAAACACTAATGAGTCACCCATAAATGTAAACATTGCATTTTCATTGCCTACATCTTGTATGATACATAAAATTAATATTTATGTGTTTAATTTTGTGTGCATTGTTATAATCAGATAGGAAATTTCAGTGAATGAAGTGTTTCATCTTAGTGAATATTGTGCACACATTTACAGGTTTTCTTTGACCATAACCATATCCTACTGAGTTTTAGTAAGTTTATTACCTTCATGTTCCAATTTACATTTTAACCTTAAAAATTTTTTCTCTTTTATTTCAAGTGAAAAACCCAGGCGGTAAAGCTCAACTTCCATTTTGTAGGCCTGGAAATGAAAAAGCAAAGAGTTCAAAAAAATTCAGAAAAATCTCAGAGATAAATTTCAAAGGGATGGTTTGTAATGACAACAAAAACCATATAATTTTTAAAACTAAATATCATGAGACAACAGTCTTGCTTGTTTTTCATTTTAAGTCATTAGGTTCCATCTATATGCGGAATATGGAATATGAGAAGACAGAAGAAAGATAGAAATATACAAGATTCCCACAAATTTAGACTATCTCTCTTCATTAGTGAAGGGTAGAAAGGTTGTTGTGACAATGTGTTATTTTGTTAGGGGAAGAAGAGATTTGTTTTACATATATATTAAGTAATAAATTATATTTTCTTATTTCCTTAGCAAGTTGCTGTAATAAATTATAATCTATTGAACTCTAGTTTTTCTCGGTATTTTCTGGTTTAATGCTGAGGAATTATGATAAAATAACATAGGATTCTTAGTACTTTCTGAATAGTTTGCCAGCTAAGACAAAAACATTGCTTCCAGGGGGAGGGGGAAGTGTTCGCAAAATATTTCAGATCTGAGAATTATTCCATTTTCATGGGCCTTACAGATATGATAAAGACCCTATGGTATTTTTATAATACTGGAACATGTAAGTAAATAAGTATTCATCCTGTTAAGGTTTCTGGGT